AATGGGAAACCAATCTTTAGAACCCCTTGAAACTTCTTTTGCAAAGCACGTACTAATTTGAACATTTTATTTTGGGTTTCCAATTTATTAATGATGAACAAAGAAAAAGGCAGAGAAGGTTCAACACGATTTGTTCTCAGTCTGTGTATCGTATCCTACAGTAAGTTATATAAAATTGGTCTACTGGTGTGAATAGCGTAGTCGTAGGTTAGTGTTACGGAGGTCACGACATGTCGCCGTCGATGAGCGACAGTCTGCAATTTCTGAAAATGAGCAATATTTGTCTTCTGAAGGTGGCACGCCAACGTAAGCAACCATACCATGGATGACGCCCTCGTGTCGCCTCCTGGGGTAAGGCGACACTGGCGATAATCCAAAACTAAACTGACCTGGACAACACAAAACAAACTTTTATGAGAACAAAAACAATAGTGAAGTAATGGTATACAGCTGCTGACAAGGGGGCGTTCATAAACTGAGAAATTTGCATAATTAAGCTTAGAATTTAAATCATCATAAGCCGTAATTTGGTGGTTTGATTTTGTTAAAGTAAGACTTGCTCCGTTTCGTTTCACACGACAGATGATGGAAGCAGCTGTGACCAGTGCCTCAAACTTACGCACCGTTCAGTTTTTGGCCGTGGTGGAAATGGAAACAAACGACGAGTTTCGGCAGGGGTCAGAATTCAATTACGTGGCTGGCAGAGGTCGGAAAACAGACCAGGATATGGCCGGGAAACGGGCTGGCAGACGGGCAGCCGAGTCAAAACTATTTACGACGAATGAGTGCCAATTACGCATCGTATATTGTACAGCGAAGGGGCGGAGCCGGGCTGTGGTCAATCGGCAAAATGGACATTGTACACTGCCCTCTGCACTTCAGGTAACGCTGCACGAGCGAGAGACAATACTAGCGACAAAAATGGGCTGGCGAACACCTGATTGACCACTGAACAAACAACGAGCTGGCTCCGTTCTACGGCCATGGCACGGCGGGGTGAACTTGCGAGCCACTTAGCGAAGCTGCTGTTTGCAGTCCAGTGACGATGGGCTAGTGCCAGGAAGACCTGCAGTGCGAAATGCTCAGTTTTCGGCCCCGAACCACACTCATCACCACCATCAG